GTATGCTCTCCTTCCTCTTTGTTCACGTATCTATATCTTTCAAGATATACAAGCTAGGGGTTTTGTTTGTTTGTTTTCATTTTTGTTTGTTTTTATGTTCAAGAACATTTAACCTTGTTGCTACATTATACTTGTGATGAATTTTTTTTAGTGTCTATATAAGTCAATAAAATAGTTGTACCATGGTTTGCCAAACCATTCCTCTGTATGTACATTTATCTTGCTTCTAATTCTTAATTAGTAGAGATAATGTATATGCTTCTGTGTGTGTATAGTTTGTTTTATTTTTTAATTTATTAGATTATTTCCTTAGGATAAAGTCTCAGGAAAAAAATTTCTGAGGCAGAGGGACAAATACTTCTATGGTTCTTACAATGTATTATCCTGTAACTTTCCCAAAAGGTTATATTGCCCCTGTATACCTCTTTTGCTGTGTAATGCGAGCACTTTAAAAGATATCTCGGCATTGCTATAATTTTTTATTTCTTTATTTACAAGGAATGATGATCATTTTTCTGTGTGTTTGTGATTTCTCTTAGTTATATTTTCTACTAGTATTCTTTTTGCCTACTACCTCTTGGAGACTTGCTATCTTTTTAATCATTTTATGTGATGTTTTTGGAATTACTCTTTGTTATATTTGATGCAAATATTTTTCTATCCTTTTGATTCATTATTGATTTACAGAAGTTAAGTTTTATGCTTAGTAGTCAAATTGGTCACAGTTCCTTCCTTCATGAATCATTTCTGTGCTGAGCCAGTAAATAATCCCGGAGTTTTATTGCTGTTTGTTTTTCCATCTGTTGGCAATATGCACCTGGGAACTAGATACCCCAGGAGCTTTGTCTCCTTCACCTCATTGCCTGGGGTGCATTTCTTTCTCATCATTTAGTTCTCGGCTTAAAGGTTACATCTTCAGGTGTTCCTGACCACACTAGCCAAAGTAGCCTCCCCTGCCCCCCAGCCTTGTCCCTGTACCCTGCAAAAATCTTGTTTACTTTTTTCTTTTTTAAGTCTGTTACACCAGAATGTGAGCTCTCTGAGGGCAGGACCCTCATCAGTTATGGTCACTGGTATATTCAGCTCCTCTCTTGACCTGCTATGTGTTCTTGGCAAAACGCTTCTCCTTTCTGAGCCTCAGTTTCCTGTCTGTAACACGGAGATTATACTAACCATGGAAAGTGAATGAGAGGTTCTGATGAGAGCCATGTGTCTGAAAGCAATATATGACCCTTAGTAGGTACTGAATAGATAAATGGATGTCTGTGTGTCCTCCTGTTCCTGTTTACTTTTTAAACAGCCAGATCTCAGTGGCGGGTTCTCATTAAACTTATTACTTAAACTTTAGCTTTTTCACAATGGATACTGTAAAGCCGTCCTACCTCCTCTACATAAAAAGGTTGATTTTGTGAAACATAGTTGCAGTGGTGCTTTTCATTTGTTCCTTCAGTATTTATTGAACCTATCCTCTGCCAGGTCCTGGGGCTATAAAGGTCCCTGCTGCCAGGGTTCTTTGGCTCTAGAGGAGGAGATGGGTGCGGAATGATGGTTACACTCCACCATGATAAGTGCTGTGAAGGCTGGGTGCCACAAGTGCTCAGAAGAGTGGCTGGTGTCAGAGAAGGCCTCCCACACAGGAGGCTTGTGAGCTCAGTCCAGAGGGTTGGGAGATAGTTACATAAAGTAGTAAGTGAGGAAGAGAAGCTCGTTCCCTTCAGACAGAGGGAGTAGCACATGCCAAGGGCCAAGGCTGGAGGCCCAGGACTCCTGGCAGGCTGTGTTTGCCTCCTGCAGTCCCTTCTCCACACAGCAGCCAGTGCAGCCCTTTTGAAACATTGTATCTTGTCACACTTTACCTCAAAACTTGCTAGTGGTTCCACCTATCATCCCCAGTAAAAACCATGGTCTTTCTTGGTCTACCAGGTTGCTGTGATCTGATCTTGCCAGCACTCTTACCCTCCTCCCTGCACTTCAGCCAGACTGTCTCCTTTGCCTTTCCTTGAACAGGCCAGACACTTCCCACCCCAGGACTTTTGTACTTGCTCTTTATGCTGTCTGGAATACTCTCCCCAGAAATCCACATGGCCAGGTCCCTCATTTCCTTCAGCTCTCTACTCAGCTATCACCTTAGAGAGGCCTTCTCTGTCCACCCTATTTAAAATGTCCATCAGCCTCTGCATTCTAGACCCCCCTCCCCTACTGTAGCTGATATTTATATTTTACTTCTTTTTTGTTATTTAATGTCTGACTCTCGTCCCTCTCTTCCCCCCCCCAACCCCCAATGTCAGCTTCATGAGGGCAGGGATTTGTGTTATATTTTGTTCACTACAACATCCCCAGGGTCTGATACATAGAAGGTGCCCATATAGTTATTGAATGAAGAGCAATCTTAGAAAATTTCATCTTTTTCATTTCAGCCCTACTCTCCAAACTCTAGGGGATATTTTGGACCTGAATTCTGACTTGGTTTTAGCTTTCTTTCTCCTTCTTTCTTGAATTAGTTGCAAATTGATTGAGCTGTCCTAAATTATCATCCAAGTTATTTGTATATATTCTTATTCTTATAATGTTGAATGTGTCAGAGTCCTTTTGCCCCTGTGTTAGAGACCTCTGTCTTGGAAATATAGAAAAAGGGGGGTTTTAAAATGTTTTTAAATACAAACAATAGAATTAAAAGGGCTGTTTTGAAAAAAAGGAAATAATTCCCTATTCTTAATGTGCTTTTTTATTTTTTTCATAATGTCCTCTAGCCCTCTTCTTGTTTCCACATGGTTGCAATCACCACGCACTTTATTTTTGCATTTTTCTGTTTTCACTTAACATATCACAAACCTTTTGTGGCGGCATAATGTAGTCTGATCACCATTATTAATGTGTTTATTATAGTCCCATGAATAGATATGCCATAATTTAATTGGCCTTTTCCCTAATTGTTGGGCATTTCTAGTTCTTTGTTCATTTTGCTCTTGGAGATGTCACTGCAAGCAAACATCTCGCTATGCTCTTTTGTTCTTTTGGAGTATTTCTTTAGGATGAATTTCCAGGAGGGTTACCAAGTCAGACAAAGTATTGACCACTATCGTACTTTACCCCTCCCATCAAGAATAGCACCCGGTATGTAGTAGGAGCTCAGTAAAAGTCTGCTAAATGACTTATGATCTCATACATGCATAACCCACTGAACTGTACTCTTACATCTACAGAGTTAGCCCTGTCCTTTTACCCAGGCTGCAGATTTTAGGTTCATCAGGGTATATGCCATTCTGTAAGAGGAACTTGCTTGCCCTTTCCTCCAGCATTTGAGAGTATTCTTACATCACTGGGGGAGTGGGTGGCGGTGACTGGATTATTGTCAGCCTTGTGCCTTCCACAAAAACAATAATTCATTGTTCTATCTCCACCCAGTGTTTAGGACCCCCCCTAACTCATTAGCCCCTGGAGTAGGGAACTATTCTTTTTTGGTGAATGGAATCTCTGTTTGTAACAACTCTCAGCCTTTGAGGAGCTTCTGGCTGGTTCTGGACTGGTCTGGGAGAGTAGAGGGAAAGGTAAAATAGTGAGGAGTGATAACCTAGAAGGCCTTGCATGGCAGGGAGAAAACTCAAACATCTCCTCTGTTTACAAATTCCATGTGCCAGAATATCCCCTTGACTAGCTTCTGGTTAATCGGGATTAATGATCCCCTTCCTAAGGCACATTTCCTGTGGCTGTGTGTCAAGTGTCACACTACCTCAGATGCCAGCTTATTAAATCATTGAGTCTATCCTCATGGGGTCATTTTGCTTCCTTTCAAATGTTTTCAGTTGTGCCATTTGGACCACAAGTGACAAAGCGTCTCCTTCCTGTTAGACACCACTGTTTGGGTTTTTTCAAATCATCAGAGTCCTTCCTCCCCCCCCCCCAACTCTGCCTAATATGTGAGTCATGAATGTGTATGTACTCTTGGGAATGGTATTTGTATTCTGCTCCCAAATAGCTGAGGCAGGAGATAAAATACTGCCTGGTGGGCAAAGGGCCAGGAACAGTCCCTTCCCATGCTGAAGATGTGAGCAGGTGCTCTGGCTGCTGGTCATGGCCCAAGGACCATTCCAGAAAAGCCTGAGGAGCTTTGAGGAGGTGCCAAGTGCCTGGGTATTACTTCTGCTGTTGGAAGACAAAAGTGTGACTCATCTGCCTGGGGTATGAGGAAGTTAATCCAGCCTACGTGGTCTCTCCTAACTTTGGTCTTATTTCTGGCAGGCAGAGGTGGAGGAGACACTGAAGCGACTTCAAAGCCAAAAAGGAGTGCAGGGAATCATCGTGGTGAACACAGAAGGTATGCCCTCTCTCCGGCTATGCCTGCCTGCATCCAGGGAGGCCCCCAGAAAGCAGCCCAAATAGTATAACATTTGCTGTTTACTCAGCCCCTTTGTGTACCTGATTTAATTTTAAGCTTTTTTTTTTTTTTTTAAATCATTGAGTCTATCCTCATGGGGTCATTTTGCTTCCTTTCAAATGTTTTCAGTTGTGCCATTTGGACCACAAGTGATAAAGCGTCTCCTTCCTGTTAGACACCACTGTTTGGGTTTTTTCAAATCATCAGAGTCCTTCCTCCCCCCCCCCCAACTCTGCCTAATATGTGAGTCATGAATGTGTATGTACTCTTGGGAATGGTATTTGTATTCTGCTCCCAAATAGCTGAGGCAGGAGATAAAATACTGCCTGGTGGGCAAAGGGCCAGGAGCAGTCCCTTCCCATGCTGAAGATGTGAGCAGGTGCTCTGGCTGCTGGTCATGGCCCAAGGACCATTCCAGAAAAGCCTGAGGAGCTTTGAGGAGGTGCCAAGTGCCTGGGTATTACTTCTGCTGTTGGAAGACAAAAGTGTGACTCATCTGCCTGGGGTATGAGGAAGTTAATCCAGCCTACGTGGTCTCTCCTAACTTTGGTCTTATTTCTGGCAGGCAGAGGTGGAGGAGACACTGAAGCGACTTCAAAGCCAAAAAGGAGTGCAGGGAATCATCGTGGTGAACACAGAAGGTATGCCCTCTCTCCGGCTATGCCTGCCTGCATCCAGGGAGGCCCCCAGAAAGCAGCCCAAATAGTATAACATTTGCTGTTTACTCAGCCCCTTTGTGTACCTGATTTAATTTTAAGCTTTTTTTTTTTTTTTTTTTTCAATGCCAATGCTTCGAAGCTACAAAGGACAGGCTGACTCTCTTATTAAGACCTAACGCAGCTAGTGATTTTAAGTTGAATCCAATTCTCATTTACCATTCCACAATTACTAGAGCTCATAGTAATTATGCTAAATATATCCTGCCTGTGCTCTATAAGTAGAACAAAATGTGGATTACAGTACATCTGTTTATAGCAGGGTTTACTGAATATTTTAAGTCCACTGTTGAGAACTACTGCTCAGAAAAAAGAAAAAAAAAAAGATTTTCAAAATATTACTGCTCATTGACAGTTCACCTAGTAACCCAAGAGCTCTGTTGGAGTTATCCAGGAAGATTAATATTATTTTTATTCCTGCTAACACAGAATCCATTCTCCAGCCCATGGATCAAGGAGTCCTTTCAGCTTTCGAGTCTTATTATTTAAGAAGTACATTTTGTAAGGTGATAGCTACCATAGGTAGTGAATCCTCTGATGAATCTGGACAAAGTAAACTGAAAACCTTCTGGAAATCATCCACCATACTAGATGCTATTAAGAACACTTATGATTTATGGGAGGAAGTCAAAATATTGGCGTTAACGGGAATTTGAAAGAAGTTCAACGATCACGGATGACTTCAAGGGGTTCAGAACCTCAGTGGAGTATGTAACTTCAAATGTGGGGGAGATAGGAAGAAAATTAGGATTAGAAGTGGAGCCTGAACATGCGACTGAATTGTTTCAATATCCCCACTGTCTGACAGATCATATATTCCAGTATTCTATTCCTTTTCAGCCCTTGTCCAGGCACATTTCTGATGGTTATCATCATAGTTGTTACTCTTTTGCATGTGTTTACACAGGGGCATTTTTTTTTTTTTTTTTTAAAGACAACTGGTAAGGGGATCTTACCCCTTGACTTGGTGTTGTCAGCACCACGCTCAGCCAGTGAGCAAACCGGCCATCCCTATATGGGGATCTGAACCCACGGCCTTGGTGTTGTCAGCACTGTACTCTCCCAAGTGAGCCACGGGCCGGCCCTGGGGGCTTTTTTTTTTTAAGTACCAGTACAGTGTTTATTAATGCATTTATGTTGTTTCTACTTTTTTATGTGCTCGTTAAATGGGTATTAAGTACCACTTATGTTGATTCCACTTTTTTTGCTAGATAATACTCTAGTCAATTTCTTTGTGCCTATAGCTCCCTGCCCCCCATTTCTGGATTATTGAACAACTGGAAGAGTACAGGTACTAATTTCCCCAAACTGCCCTAGCCATGGTAAAGAAGGGAAATAACATTTATCACACAACCACTCTGTGCCAGGCCTCGGGTTAGTGCTTTACAGACATATTGTTTCGTTTATTCCTTAAAGTAGCCCTGTTGTCTCCAGTTTTCAGTGGAGAAAACTAAGTCTAGAAATTTAACCGATTCATCTGCCATCACAGAGCCAAGATTTAAATCCAAGTCTGTCTGAGTGTATTTGTGCACCTTCTCCCACACTGTGCTGTGAAGAACCAGAGAGTGACTGCTGGCGTGATGCCCCAGGCCCTGTGCTCCAGGCAGTAATAAGGACAAGTGCTCTGGAATCCGGCAGTTGTGAGTTTGCACACTGCCTCTGCTCCCGACTAGTCATGTGACCTTGAGCAAGTCACTTAAGCCTGCAAATGTAGACAAAAATTATATCTACCTTACAGGGTTGTAAAGATAGAACAGGGCTGTGTTCCTTAAGTCTAGGGGTTCTGTGCTGCCCCTAGAGGTGGGGGCCAGGGTCCCTGTCCTCCATTTCAGTCATAGCAGCCCTACTCAGATCCATTAGCTTGTGTTTCTGCATTAGTTTTAATTTGAGAAAAGGGTTTGGCCAATTTAAAAACTAGCCAGCTAAAGTGTACAAAATAACATAAGCCAGTGTGCGTGAGGCTGGGAGGGGACAGGTACACCAAGACATTGCTGCTGACTTTGGCAGCTTTGCCAGTGAAGGTCCATGAAAGCAGGGACCATGTCTGACTCACCTCTGTTCCCAATGTCCATCCAGCTTAGGCACTGGACGTTTGCTGAATGAACAAACCCATCAGTGGGGCTATCAACCCCTTTGTTTTGATAACTCCACTTTATGGATCATTTCCCTGTGTTCTAAGGAATAATCCCAAAGGAAAAAAACAAACTTTTGCAAGCATGTTTGATGCCATAATAATTAGGTTAATAATTGTCATGATGCCTATAATAATAATAGTTAACATGATTGAAAATACTATCATTTTCCAGGTACCAGTATAAATACTTTACATAGATTAATTCATTTAATCATTAAAACAGCCCTAAGAGGATGGAACTATTAATATGTTCATTTTATAAATGAGGAAACTGAGGGTTAGAAAGAGGTGGAGTAACCTGTCCAAGATTACACAGAGAGGGAGTAGTAGAACTGGAATGCTAACTGTGTAGTCCATGCTTTTGGCCACTATCCAGGCTGCCCCCCAGTGCCCAGGGCTTAGGAATGGCTGACAGACTGGAGAATCAGCCCCCATGGATGCCCTGAAACTGAGAATACAGCTGTGGCAGGTGTGAGGATCTTATCAACATGAGGAGGTGATAAGCCATTGCATAAGGATGGGGAGGCTGCATTGTTGCATACCTCTTGGGAGTCTGTCTTCCTTCTCCAGCCTTAGTTCCTGGTCTCTCTTGTTGGGGGCCTCTGCAGCCCACAGTCTCTGCATTCCTCTCTGAGACTTATTTTATTCTATCTTCTTGCCTTAGTGCTTGCTCTCACCCCTGCCTGCAATGCTCTCCTGTCTCTGCTGATCCCCTATCACCCACCCTTCAAGATTCCTTCTAATGTTCCTCTTTTAAGAAGTATCCCCTTGGTGATAATTAATCTTCACAGCAACCTGTCTTACTAAGAAGGAAATTGAGGCTCAGAGAGGGTAAGTGATGTGCCCCAGATAGGATTGTGCAGGCCCTTCAGTGCCCAGCAGAGGGTCTTCTCTCCCAGGCCAGGATCAAGAGTAGCCCTCTCAGTAGAGATGATATGGCATTGGTTACTTATTCCCTGACTGCCCTAGAGAGTAGATATTAGTGCTACCACCTTTATAGACACACATGTGGACATCCTAAGAAATCAAGCCATGCCCATGGTCACCCTACTATTGCTGGGCTCCCCCTGATTTTCTAGCCCACTGCATTGAACCAGCTCTGATTTGCTTGAGGCTCTTTGAGAGCCCTGTGTGTATGTGTTGTCATTCTAGGCCTTGTTCTGGAAAGGCAGAATTCTCAACGTACCTACTTAAATCAAGCAGAATTGAAGTCACCAAGGGCAACAAAGTGGAGGTAGCATGTTTTTAGTTAGAATGTTATTTTTCAAGTCGACAGAGCCCTGGCCAGCCTGGAGCTGGACAGATCGTGTTCCCCAGCTTTGTCAAATTCTGATTAAACCATGTGGCCATTTCATTTAAAGGAGGTTGAGAGCCCTCAGGACACTGTGGCCGGCAAGAGCAGATGCCCTGCTCAGGTCTAACCATGATCATCTGGGTAGCCTGGGGCAAGTCCCTTACCATCTTCAGACCTCAGCTGCCCCAAGTGCAGTGGCAGTCCAGGTAATCTCTTTTGAGCACTTCTTGCCCCAAGACCCAAAAAACTGTTTATATGTCACCCAGAGAGTCTGTCTACTGGGACTGGACATTTTGACCCCAGATGGGGAGAGACCAGCCCCAGGGGCTGACTGCCCCAGCTGGGATCCCTAGGCTTCTACCAGTACTTGAAAAGAATAAGCCTTCATTCTTGCCTTAAAACTGCCCTTAATGTCAAGCTATTTCATTGGGAACATCTAGCCCCAACTATTTAACTTTGGGATACTAATGAGTACTTCTTTTTGGTATATACTAATGTGGAAGTATTGTACAGTAGCTAAGAGTATGGAATGTGGAATCAGGTAGCCTGGGTTGAATCCTGGCTCTACTTATCAGCTGTGTGATCTTGGGCACAAGTCAGTTAACCTCTCTGTTCGGTTTTCTCATCTGTAAAATGTGGATCATAATACTACCTTCCTCTTAGGGAGCTTTCAGAAGAGTGCCTGATGAATAGTAAATGCCATATAAACATTATAGTTATAGTGTGTGCGTGTGTTTATTTTTAATTTGTGTCCCATTCACAGAGCTCCTACTTCAGTCTCTCATTTACACTTCACACAGTGACACTGCAAGGCAAGCGTGTTTGCCCATTTTTCAGATGAGAAACCTGAAGCTGAGAGAGGTGAGGCGACCTGCCTGAGGTCAGCCAGCTGTGGACAGGGTGGTCAGAACCCAGGGTCTGAGTTGATTGCTCTTCCCACTGTTCCATGGGGCCTTTAAGCCCTCTGGAAGCTTCCACTGAGGATGATTATTTAGGGATAATCGTCTGAGGGATCCCTATGATCCCATCTACGTTTTTCCTGCCCTCATGATTCAGCTCAGCTGCCTCTACCTTCAGGATGCCCTCCCTGACTACCCCTGCCCAGAGTAATTGCTCCTGTCCCCAAACCCCTGACCCACCCCTGTCCCAGTCTGTTACCAATCACCTGCTACTGCCTTTTGACATCCTGCCTTGGCCAAAATCAAATGGTGTTTTATAATAAGTGTAGGTTTAAGCAGCTTTACCAAGCACTTAAGGCACATTTCATTCCATTTATCTCTCCAGATCCCCCTACCAATCTCTGCTGCTACCTATACAGGGCAAAATAAGACTCAAATGTATAAGCCCCATGAAGGCAAGGATTTGTCTTGTGTTCACTCCTGTATCCCCACTACCTAGAACTATGTTGGCACAGAGTTTGTGCTTGGTAAAAATATCTGTTAAATTTTTTTAATGTTTTTTATTGTTGCTTGAAGGAATGGGGTGTGGTGGGAGGACCTGGCTGCACACCCTGACAGATCCGAGCCCCAGGTTAGATACTGTGCCTCCCCAGTAACCAACTATTTCTGTGGGCTACACAGTCTCCGTTGTGAAGACAGAGGCTTGGATAGATGGCCTGATAATTAGGCCATTTTTTAGGTCTCTTCCAGGTCTGGTTTCCTCTGAATCTGGAATTAATCTCTTGTCCTTGTTTGTGGGCTACACAGTCTCCGTTGTGAAGACAGAGGCTTGGATAGATGGCCTGATAATTAGGCCATTTTTAGGTCTCTTCCAGGTCTGGTTTCCTCTGAATCTGGAATTAATCTCTTGTCCTTGTTTGAAATTCTTCCCAGTCTTGATCCCTGCCCCCATATTTCCCCATTTTGTTTTTATTTTATTTTATTTTTTTTTTCCTTTTTGTCTTTTTTCATGTCCGGCAATGGACCGCAACCCTCAGTGTCGCGCCCGTGTTTTTACAGTGAACCAACAAATGGTTAGTTCCTTGTCTCCTTTACACACCTCTCACTTGTAGAAATGTGATCAAACTCATGCCAGTATTTGTCTGAATTACTGAAAGTAGATCCTGTGACCACTCATTCATCAACAGCAATAAATGTTTAATGCAGTCTCTCCAAGGACACTGGTGAGCAAGTCAGACTTGGCCCTGCCCTTGGGGAGTTTACAGTCTGGTGCGGGATGGACATAATAATCACTTCATAACTGTACGATGTCAAACTCGAGCGACTGCTCTAAAGGAGAGATGCATGGTGCTGGGACCATAGAGTGGGGACACTGACTACTGAGGGTGGGTGGCATCATCAGATTGTACGATGTCAAACTCGAGCGACTGCTCTAAAGGAGAGCTGCATGGTGCTGGGACCATAGAGTGGGGACACTGACTACTGAGGGTGGGTGGCATCATCAGAAGGCAGGAGACCTGAGGGACCCCTGGGAGTCATGAGTGAATAAGGGAAGGAAGGAAAGTTCTAGGCAGAGAGATCTGTGAGAAGGTGGCCTCAGGTATAAAAAGAGAAGGTCAAGGGGCCTGATTACCCAAACCTTGCCAGGCCTTGGAACTGGTAGGCCCTCTCACCATCAAGGTCCAAAGATGAGCTAAGGGGAAGGTTCCCGGCCAGGAGCAGAAACAGCCAACCCAGGGCCCCTTCTGGGCTCTGGTCTTGGCCCTCAGCAGGTGGGCTCCATGTTAGCAAGGTCCCTGCAGATTTAAGGAACAGTTACATCCGCTCACGTTATCAGGAATTGGATTTATCGCGTGGGTGGTGTTGATCACAAACTAACATTTTTTAAGTGTGTACTCCCGCTAAACATTCTTAAAGGGATTAAGCGATATTAAGTCCTCACACCAGCACTTTGAAGCACAGACATATGAGGCAATAGAGGCTGGAAAGGTTAAGTCACTTGCCTAGGCCACATAGCTATGAAGGGGCAGAGTCAAGGTGTAAGCCCACATCATTGGATTTCAGAGTCCTACTCAGTCATCATCCCCGTCTTTGATAGATTATAGTGGACACACTGCTCATACTGCTGTCCTCAGGAAGGTACACTATGGAGCAAGGCCTCATGGTGCCCTAGTGTGCATGTTGTTGCTATCCAGGACCCAACAGCAGCCCTGGTAACCTGTTTGACTTGTCCCTTAAAGGCAAGTGGCCACTACAACTCATTCTCATGACTTCATTTGGCTCAAAACAGCCGTGACTCAGCTGCTTCTTTTGCCACCATGTCCTCCTCTTCTCCTGCCCACTCTTGTGATCCTGGTGCCCTAAGAAGGCAAGGTTCAGTCAGTTTTCTTGCCACCCGATGGGTAGACCAAAGGATGACTGCCTTTGGCTGATCCCTAGGCTGATTAGTTGTGGGCCAGATCAGCAGGGTCCTGAGCCCACAATCTGGCCACTTCTATTCAAATGTGAAGAGCCACTTGTGCCATATTCATGTCAGCTGGTGGGCTCTCGGGGTCTCATGGATGGAGCTTTCTGCTGATATGTCATAGCCAATTCACAGGCACCTGTGACCCAATTGCGGCCTTACCTCCATGTCAGTAGGCAATGTCCAGCGAGCAAGATCCACTTAATAGTTCATCTCAAGGAAGCAGTCCTCAAAACAGAAAAGGCTTGATGCACAATGATGTTCACTGCCCAGTTAATTATACTAGTATAGAACCTAGCTAAGTGTCCAACAGTTGGGGAATGGTGGACTCTGTGGACTGTCCACTCAGTGGGCTCTTTAAAGAGGTAGAATGATATGTACAGACACGGAAACATTGCTTTAATTTGGGGGGCACAATCGTGTATAGACAATGTGTTTACAACTGGGCCCTACACCTCCCTTGCAAGGGAACAGTGGTGATTAGGTTGTGGCACAAGCTGACCTTTTATCTTCTTCCTCCTTTTTAGTATTTACAAATTTGTAAGTTCTGAGCATTATGAGTGACAGTCTCTTTTATTGCTGGAAACCAGTCAAAGCAGTGTGGCCCTGTGAGAGAAACCCAGTAGTGGAGCCAGCAGATCTGCACTTGAACCCTAGCCCCACTGCTTCTCTGCTGTGTGATCCTAGATGGGTCACCTCCCTGCTCAGAGCTCCTGTTGCCTCACTGGTAAATAAAGATGGTGAAGCCACCCACAGAATAGTTCTGGGGCCTGATGCTGACATATTTCGGGTGCTCAGCACTGTGCCTGTCACATAACAAGCCCTCTGTAAATAGTGGCATTGTTTACTGCCAGTGCATACGGTAGAGTCAGGGTGTGGGGTCAGGAGCTTGGCAAAAAGGGGCTCCACCGTCCTGCTCAGTCTCCATCTGCTCTCCCTTCAGGCATTCCCATCAAGAGCACCATGGACAATCCCACCACCACACAGTATGCCAACCTCATGCACAACTTCATCTTGAAGGCACGGAGTACCGTGCGTGAAATTGACCCCCAGAATGACCTCACCTTCCTTCGAATTCGCTCCAAGAAAAATGAAATTATGGTTGCACCAGGTAAGAAATCTTGCATCTCCCAAATTAGGAACAGAGCCTCACAGCACATTCTCCATGGCTTACCAAGGCCTCAGCACATTGGTGTCTCCAGAGGGTCCAAGAAGGGCCCGAGGAGTTGAAGGAATCAAGTCAATGCCTCGCTGCTGAGCCAGCCTTCAGCTGGGGTCCCCCAACCAATCCCGACTCACAGTGACTCCAGGCCACAGAGGGAGAGATAGACATATAAGCGTAATAATACAGTGTCACCAACACCTTGGTCTGGAGAAATTCAGAGAGCATTTGGGATATAGAGGAGGGTGTGATCAGGTAGGCCTTCCTGAGCCATTGGCAAAGGCTTCCCAGAAGAGGACACTCGAGCTGAATCCTGAAGACACAGGAAGGAGTGTGAGCACAATGGAGGGGCTCAAAAACTATGTTGAGGGGAAAAAGAATTCAGTGATTCCAAACCAGAATGCAAAACAAAATTACAATACAGTCATATTGCCCTTGAAAAAATGTTAACTTGCCCACTTGTAAAGCATAGTCCTGTCTCTCTAGGCCCCATACAGCTAGCTTTTCCTCCAGCCCTGGAACAGAGTGCTGCTTCTGTGTTACATGAAGTGTTCGGCTTGCATTTGGAAGCTGTGTAGTACAGCCAGCGTCCGGCTTCAGGCCTCAGGACCATTCTCAGGGTGATGAGATGCTCCTGCTGGGAGGAGCCCACAAGAGGGAACAGCAGGATCACCTCTCCTGCCCAGCCTCACCTCACTCTCACTTGGGGACTGGAGTGGCAGGCAGATTCTCCAGGACTATTTTTGCATTGTTACTTCTTTGCCACCCACTCTTCTGTTGGGCTGAGCCACACAGTGTGTGAGTTGCACTGAATGTGATGGTGCACTTAGGTTGCAGTGCAGCTTATCTAGGGCGTCAGAGTGTGTGTAGGAAGGAGTAGTAGCAGGTGAGACTTTGAAACTTTACTCCAGGTGAGAAGGGGCCTCAAACATCAAACTCAGCTGCATGGACTGGACCCTATGAGCAGAGGTTTTTAGGGCAGGAGGTAATATGATTGTGATTAGGGCTTGAAGGAAGGAGGGCATTGGGGAGGCTGAGGACACTGAATGCCCCTGGGCTTGGCAATACAGATGGTCTGTGGAATTCTGAGGTAATTTGATGTGGGGGTCAGCCACTCCCAGCAGCAGTTGGACATTGGTTCTTTTCCAGGCCTGCTCTGGCCCAGCCCGGCTGCCTGCAAGAATGGGAAAGAGAGAACCATAGAGCCAGTCACAGAGGCTCACAGTCTCCCTGGGACACTCCCTAGAGGGGTGGGGACAGAGCCAGTCAGTCACAGAGAAGAACATTAGGATAACTTCAGGGTTATTTATTCCAAAAACGTGCTGTACACTCTTCAGTGCATCACATGCCAATCGGTACCTGATCCTGGCAGGGAAAAAAGACTGCAAGAGGCACAGAATCTCTTTTTCCAGCTTAACCTCTTATAAGTGTGACCTTGGGCATATGACATGTAAAATCTCAAGTGGGGGTCTGTGCTGTTCTGGTCTTCTGAAACACCTGTCTGGTTGAGTGTGTTGGCTTGGGTTTGGGCAAAAAGCCTTGGAATGAAATTTGAACTGACATCCTCCCAAGACTTCATGCTGTATGACTATGGAAGACAACTCTCCGCTTCCTTAAACACCTCACTAGAAGTCAAGCTGGAATGATCCCACTACTCACCCTGCACATCAGAGCAGACCTTATGCTCCCCAGTGGCCCACCTGGGGCTCTGAGTGTGAGACATGGGCAAATTATGTGGTCTCCACATCAGACAAACTCACCATGGACAATGTCTTTTGGCTTAAAGCTTCCAAGGACGTCACCTCTGGAAGGGCAGAGTTGTCTGAAAGCTCCTGGCCATTCATGTCTCAGCTCAGCAGAAAAGGCATCTCCATTCTGGCATTGAGGACTCACAAGCATTCAAAGCCCATAAGTGTGTTGGGGTTTTTTTCCTTTTTTCTTTTTTTCGTGGCTGGCTAGTGTGGGGATCCAAACCCTTGACCTTAGTGTTACCAACACCACGTTCTAACCAACTGAGATAACTGGACAGCCCTAGTATGTTGGTTTTTTGGGTTCGGGATGGGCAGCTTCCAAGTTAGGAGTACTCCTTGGGGTTCACAAGCCCAAAGGCCCCACATCCTTGTCTGTGGAAGTGAGGATGAAGTGGCCAGACCCTCGCCAGGGCAATACATGGAGCCCTGCAGGGAGCTCTGTCTCTGTTTCACACACACATACACTCGCAGTGCCCACACACATATCTTGTTAGGCTGGAGTGTGTGACATGTTGAGAATGAGTGCTCCTTTGGATTGCCCTCCCATCCTGTGCTCCATCCACATTGCTGCCTCTCAGAGCCTCAAACTCTTGTCCCTGGGGCCTTCCCACATGCCATCCTGTTGCCAGGAATGCCCCGTCCTTCCTTGTCATGTGGCTAACCAACCACTTATCTGCATTTTTAAGTCTGTCTCCTCCACTAGACAGTAAGTTCCATGAGGTCAGGGACTTGTAAGCACAGAGTAAGTATTTAAGAAATATTTGAATAAATAAATAAATGACTTCCTAAACCTCCCTCTATTGGTTGACAACCCCCCCTGCTATGGCTCAGAGGTGGGGTCAGCAGCAGAGATGGGGTCATGGTTGTCTGGGGCATGGTGTTGAGAATGAAAATCAGTGATTCGGCACTTTGATGTGGCCAAGAGAAAATACTGTGTTTTGGTGCCAGAACCCCCTTAGGCAAGAATCACTGACCGGAGCCTTGCAGGTATTAGGTCTGGGTTGCCTTAGGATTACCATAGCACACAGGCCCTTTGGGGCAGCCCCTGGCATAGAGTAGGCCTAGCTGCTACAATTTGAGGTGGGCCCTTGTGGGACTATAATTAGCACCCTATACATTGTGAGCAACCTAGAGCATCCCGGCCAGGAAGGAGGTCCACAGTCCCTTCCTCCCCACCTAATCTGACCCAGGCCACAAATAGCAGCAGGTAGTTTCAGACAGTTTGGCTTTCCACATAGGTACCAAATTTACCCCATCCTGGCCCAGAACAGCCCACGTGAAGAGACTTTTTAAGACAGACTTGGTTTCACTTATTAACCTCACTGATACAATGCTGAGTTAACTCAGCATAAGTAACCTTTAACACTCTGCCTTTCACAAGGCACTTGAAGTGATATTGGATTTAGAGCTTAATAATTTGGAGTAAAAGACACTGGTATTATTGATTGCGTCTGTTTTTATCAGTGTCTTGTTAATCATTTCTGTTTTTATTAGTGATTTTCATTCGTGCATATTGTTTAGCCATAAAACTGTTAGCTATTTAATTTCTTTTGCTTCCCAGTTGCAACAGCCCATTATGGGAAGAACGAAGCTTTAGGCTTGGATCTGAACAGCCTCAAAGCAGACATGCCTGAGGTCCTGCCACTTCACTCTTGCTCAGCAGGGGGCAGCAGACCAGAGGCATTCAATGTATGGGGTCAAACCCAGCTCCCTATCCCTATCCCACGCTACCTCATCCCACCCTGTACTTGCTGAGGCTTGGACAAGTCATTTAACTCTCTGAACCTCAGTGTTCGCATTAATAAAATGGAAAAACACTAATACCTACCTCATAGAGTGATTCAACGATTCATTGAGGTGCCATGTGAGAAGCGGTTGCCCCAGGCTGGAGCACACAGAATCCTTGGTAAATATTTGCGGTCTGATCATTAAGTGGGCAGAGTTGAAATGCCCTACTTCTCCATTTTCTTCTATAAAATGAGGGGCAGTCAGGCTCACCTCTGAGGACTTGCACTTCCTGTGATTTCATGATGAACATTTTTCCTCACTGGGTTGGATCCTTGGAGCTGCTGGAATCCAGGCAGCTTTGTCCTCTTTGATTTAGTGCCTTTGAAATTTTCTTGTCCAGAAGGCTCTGGAAAGCCAGCAGCTAAGCTTGTTATAGAAACTGACATTAACCCAAGACCAGTGAGGTTGAGGTTGGAATTCCATCTTTGACACTGACTAGCTGGGTAACCTTAAGCTAGCGGGTCTCCCAGAACCGGCAGCATCAGCAACATCTGGGAGCTTATTATAAATGCAAATTCTTGGGCTCCCCACCCAGACCCACTGAATCAGTGGCTGGGGGTGGGGCCCTCTAGCTTGAAAACCACTGCTTTTGGCAATTCTTTGAAACTGAACCTGAGTGTCCCCACCCACAAAATAGGGATGAGAATACTACCTACCTGATGATTCTCTTGTGGGGAGGATTAGAAAAGAGGAAGCACGGGAGAGTGCCCGCTGCCCGGTAAAGGGGGAGACTGCTTTCCAGCAGCCATACATTCAAGAGCCCCCACAGGAAACCTGCAAGATTATCTTCTGTTTTCCCAGCAATTGGAAGTAGCCTGAGCACTGATTGCTTTTTATTGCTTTCCTCCCCTCTCCCCATTTTATGGTTAGTGATTCAATAATTTATTCACTTTCTATTGTTTTTCTCCCATTTTACATTTAGTGATTTGTTTTTTCTTTTTTCTCTTTTGCAGATAAAGACTATTTCCTGATTGTGATTCAGAATCCAACCGAATAAGCTACTCTCTTGGCCCCCGTGTTATACCTTAATTTAATGCCCCCCAAGAATAAGTGTTAATCATATCAACCAACTGGCACATGGAAATCACCTTAGAGCCCACTTAGACCACTCCAGTGACCATGGGTGGGCTGGCAGCTCCACTCGCCCCACCAAAGTAATCCCTCTTCTGTTCAAGTTGCTCCCAGAGTCACTGGGTGGGCCCTCTTTTCTCACTTCCAGGTTTTGGACAAAAGCTGGTGAGAAGCCCACACCCAGCTTCCTTCTGACCTTCAGTTCACCTTGCCTCCCTTAGAAAAGGTTGTTTTTCTTTAACTAAAAATAATTGAAATGCTTACCCTGCTGTTGTGTCTTTAAAACTGGGTTGAAAAGGCTTCTCTCTTCCTGTGTAATCACGTAGTCTGAAGACTGCGCCTAGCGATAGACTGTGTCCATGGCCTCTGTGAGGTCTGCTCCTTATTTCACCTGTGGCCACACTTAGCACAGCTGGTGTGTAACTGGTGCCCTGGTTTCTGGGTTACTTGTCCCTAGACACCTCTTTTACCATTTCCTTCTCCTGCCAACATTTTGAAAGATTTTTCTACTATGCTGCACTAGTGAGCGTGATATTCATTGAGGACCCAGAATGTACTAAGTCTATCATATATAGTAGCTCCTATCACCTCACTGTATCCTCTGCAGACAGTGTTAAAGTCACCCGAGAGATGAGGATTTGGGGCCTACAGAATGGCTTGCTCGAGGCCTCGTGGCCAGGAACACAGGGGTGTGCCTCAGATAGCCCTGCTCTTTCCACACTGCCTCCCCAGAAATCCTGATGGCCCCAGTCACCAAATGAGTGCATCCTGGGTAAACGTCCACTTCTCTGTAGATGTGTGTCGGTGGGGGAGGGGTCTTCTCACTGAGAGGTTCCCAGAATGTGCCTGTACTCTACAGGCTCTAGGCCACCTGTCATGCAGCAGCACTCTGGTTTTCTTCCCCCTGAAACCATGTGTATTTATTATTAGATTTTTCTTTTTGTCTTCCTATTCTTTTTACACAGGAAAAAGATTCCAAGCTGTATATTGTTGGCAAAACCAGCAAACCTGGAAATCCCCCTTCCTTGTCCTTCTCCTTGCCCCAGAAGTAACCATTGTCCACAGTGTGAGTCCTTCCATCTAGCAAAAATACTTTTCTAAGTTTTCTAGTGATGTTTCCTTAACAGTATCAGGAGATTTAAACATGAACCCTTGGGAGTTGAGGGATGTAGTTTTTAGCGGCTTGGCAAAATTTCTTCAAACTGTCCTTTTTTTTTTTTAAAGATGACCGGTAACCACACTCTCCCAAGTGAGCCACGGGCCAGCCCTAAAACCTCCTGTTTTATTGAAAGATAATAGGAATTTTCCTCTCCATAATACATCCATATTTGTCTTAATATAAAAATAATCCTCTCAAATAGTTTTTCCCAAGTCTTTAAGTAAAATTGTTTTTCTGGGAAACCACTGCTGTTGACCCTGTCCCTGTGGGCCCAGGAAGCACCCCCTGAGAGATGATGATTGCAGACCACGCATAGTAATTCTCTCCTAGATTCCCTGTTTTAAAAGAAAGTGAGGTACAGCTACCAGTATGTTCCTTTTGTTCTCAGAAGCTGTTGGAGGACAGGATCCAAGTCTGAGGTTTCCTTGTCCTTTTGGCTTGAGTTTCTACAAGAAGGATAATGGAGAAGAAGGTCTGATTAAAAGAAATTATCTGGAAGGTGAGGTCAGGTTTGTAGAAGAGGGGAGCACCTCCGTCCCTGGAGGAAGGAGTTGTTCTGGCTCCAGAGCAAGGGTTTGGAGCTTGTCCTTCGTCCCTTCCCTCATTTCCCCTACCACTCCTTCTTGTTTGCCTTAAATTTCCCCATCCCAAAACTGATCCATCCAGGTGCCAGGGAAAGTTTAGGCTCAGTCAGTCTGTCCTTGGGAAAAACCTAATGACCCATGGAAAGATACTCCACCTCCTAATCCCCTGAGCACTGGGATTTCATATATCAGAAGCCCGCCTTGGGATGCATTCGAGTTTTTTTTTTTCCTTTTGTCTTTTTTACTGACCGGTAACGGGATCGCAACCCTCGGTGTTGCGCCCGCACTGCGCTCAGCCAGTGAGCGGGAACTGGTCTCCACATGGGATCCGAACCCTCGGCGGGAGCGCCGCCGCGCTCCCAAGCAGCGCACTCTCCAGTGCGCCACCGGGCCGGCCCTGCATTCGAGTTTATAACACAAGTGTAACTTGACTCACCTTAAGATGTAAAAGTTCAGGTTTTTAAAATTCTAAATAATGGTATTACATATGCAAAAATCCTGGTGTTTCTGTACTTAAAACTAGCAAGTATACAGGAATATAGTACCTATCAAGGTTAGTAACTGACAGCTGTCCTAGTCCTAGAGGGAAGAGCTTGGTTTCTAGGATTCAGAAGTACATTTGCCTAAATAGCAAAGGTGTGCCTACTCCTAGTACTTTTTCTTTTTAATTTTTAATATTTTTTTGGCAGCTGGCCAGTATGGGGATCTGAACCCTTGACCTTAGTGTTCTAACACCCCCTCTAACCAAGTGAGCTAACCAGCCAGCCCCCTGGTGCATTTCAAAGTATGTTGCACACTGTACATGCCCCTAAACACTTCAGGTACATATCATAAACCAGTTTGTTTACTTGAGGGGTAGATATGATTTACATATAGCGAGATGCACAAATCTTGTGTACCACCTAAGTGACAAATGCTGACTCTTGTGTAACCACCGCCCCCCTTCAAGATCACATCACCCTAGAAAGCTCCCCTGCTGCTTCCCAGTCAGTCCAGCCCACTCCCCAGAGGCAACCCCTGTTCTGACTTCCTCCAGGTATGGTTTTCTCCCTCCAAGGTACAGCTCTTGCCTGGGGCCCCTGGGGAGGGGCTTGCAGTTCAGGGAAGTGGCTGCTTGGGAAATGCCACAGCTGCCATCTCCCTTCATCGCTGATGCCTCCACCTCAGCCCTAGCCACTGCTGTTTGGAATTCTGATTTCCTCTGTGAGCTAGTATTGCCATTTCTCCAAATATTAAAAATGTTCCAGGGATTATAGGCTTTCTCTCCTTTCATATGTTTGGCTCTCAAACCGACTGCACTTTTGTACATTTTTTAATTTGAGAATCTTTTTTTTTTTTTTTTTTTTTACTGACCGGTAACGGGATCGCAACCCTCGGTGTTGCGCCCGCATTGCTCTCAGCCAGTGAGCAGGAACCAGTCTCCACATGGGATCTGAACCCTCGGCGGGAGCACCGCCACACTCCCGAGCGGCGCACTCTCCAGTGCACCACCGGGCCGGCCCTCATTTGAGAATCTTAAGCCATCTTTCCACACCAAGTTCAGGTTCTGGTTTGTCTATCAAATCACCAGAAAAAAAATGAGAACGGGGGTCTCATAAATTGCATCATCACAGTAGGCAGAAATCACTAAGTTGGGAAGCACATCAAATTAGCAGACACACTCCAATGGTCAGTAAACTTGGCTGATAAATCATATATTCAATTGAGAAGGAAAATTACACAAGTACTTCATGGCAAACAAGCTCAGTTCATTTTGGTCTCCCACTGTCCTTAAAATTACTTGGGTTCTTCCCTGCCTCTGGCTGGAATGTAGGGCAGGCCCTGCGGTGGGTCGACAATGTGGCTGGTCCAATGTAAGAACAGGGCCTTTGAGCTGCTTTTGGAGATGGAGGCCACCCCTCCCCCAGCTTGGCCCACTGCGGCCTAGCCCTCTGCAGGGGACAGCAGCAAGTGTCTGGTCTTGGCTTTGTTTGCCCACCTTGTGCTGTCACCTCTTTTGCTCCATGTTGCTAAGAAGGGGGTGAGCTGTAGAGAGAAAATGTCATAGGTTACCAATGCCATTGTGAACTGGCTTTGGCTCAGTGAGCCTGGCATGGGTTTAAAGCTGAACCTGCTTCTGGTGTGTCTTCAAAGACATCCTCCCTCCCCACACCCCAGCCTCTCTTCTGTCAGAGCAGCTCCTGCCTGCCATTCCCTTACTGTTGATGACACACTCCCTCTGGCTGGCACCTTCTAACTGTCTGGGCCCCTGGTTCTCAGGGTCCCCCTCTGCACACTCTCCCTGTTGATTCAAGGTGCAATAGAATCACCCATCATCTCCCTCCATGTATGGTGAGACCCAGCACATGAACACCCTCTAAAAATAGTCCTCTTGGGGGCTGGCTGGTTAGCTCAGTTGGTTAGACTGTGGTGCTAATAACACTAATGTCCAGGGTTTGATGCCTGTATCGGCCAGCCACCACAAAGGTTAAAAATTGTGGGGCCAGCCCGTGGCTCACTCGGGAGAGTGCGGTGCTGATAACACCAAGGCCATGGGTTCAGATCCCATATAGGGATGGCCGGTTTGCTCACTGGGTGAGCGTGGTGCTGACAACACCAAGTCAAGGGTTAAGATCCCCTTACCGGTCATCTTTTTTTTTTGTTTTGTTTTTCCTTTTTGTCTTTTTTCGTGTCCGGCAACGGATCGCAACCCTCAGTGTCGCGCCCGTCCGTACCGGACTGAGACCAGCAACGGGATCGCAACCCTCGGTGCTGCGCCTGCACCTCGCTCAGCCAGTGAGCGGGAACCGGTCTGTATGTGGGATCCGA